ATGTTCATCTCAGGCTCTTATAGAGAACCATAAGGATTTTTCAGGTTGTGAGTTTAGTGATGGGATGTTTAAAAAAAAAAGAGCGCTAAAACGTAGGCCTTTTATATGTTCATGTAGGCCTGTGTGGAATAAAGCGCCTTAAGACCAAGGCTGATGAGGCTAAAACGTCATTTCACAAACAAGTTCTCACCACAAAACTATTCACACCATATTTGATGCTAAGTCATTCTCTTAAAAATGGTCAGACATCGATGAATCATTTGGCATCCAATTAAAAAAATTTGCCATCCAATTAAAAAAAAGACTTAAGAAAAATTATTAAAATAAATTATTATTATTATTATTATTATTACTATTACTACTACTACTACTAATAATAAATATTAACAGACTTCAAAAAGGCACTAAAAAAATAAAATAATTCAAATCAATATAGACTTTAAAAATAAAAAGATAAATAAAAAATAACAAATGAAATAATAATAATCATATTAAAATAAATATAAACAGACTCCAATAAATTACTAAAATATAATAATAATAATAATAATAATAATTCTAAAATAAGTATAATAATTCAGACTTGGAAATAGGGGGTTTACATCTATTATTTTAAACAGGAAACTGTGAAAAGAAAAAATGCACCTTACTCTTGTCTTTTCTTACACTGACATGCTCTATTCATTTGTGAACGTATAATTAAAATGCTTATTAGTGACGGATAATAATTCACAAGCAGTGCTATTATGTTTACATGCAATACAAATCTGAATCAAAAGATTGCTGGCATGTTCTTCATCCGTAAACGCTGTGACACAACCCTGCCAACTAGAGTCCTGTGACTCCATCATCAACTGATGCCATTTTCATTTGACTCTGGAACGAGTTATGACCCCTAACTCCAGAGTTTGACATTTTAAGGCTGTAATTGCAGTGCTTCATGTCAGAGCTGTGGATGCACCTGTCACTGGAGAATGAATCAATAGCCTGAAGGTGACGGTCACATTTCTGAGCAAGATACTATGAGCTGTCCTCCCTCTCCGGTTGAGACCGAGAGACCTTAGAAACGGTAGTGAATATAGCGCACTTGAGGTCAGTAGATTTTCTCTGTGAGGTTATTCCTTTAATATTTTGAGCTCAAGGGCCATTGGTTAACTAGCAAAAACTCCTTCATGCATTTAACAACTCAAATTGAGGTCAGCTTTCCTCAAGTGTCTGAATGGCAGTTGCCAGGTGCTTGGATGACATAAAAAGCAATATAGAATTTATTAATATACTGAATGGAACATAAAGGCTTCTCAAACTCCAGAACTGACAAATAAAAGCTGGGTTTCTGGCTCTTCCGAGGCTAACAAACCTTGCTGTCACTCAGCTACCATTGCTCTGGACTGCTTGTGAAGAATGCGGCCACATGAAAGAAACATAATTGCTATTGTCTGGAATGTAGAGCCGAATGATGAAAAGCAAAGCTTTCTCCATATTGTTTGATAATTAGCCCCCCTGTTCCGTGAGTGATTTGCATAGTGGTCACTTGACAAATAAAGGCAGTCCTGGAAGTGACAGTATATAAATGACTTGTTTTGCGGAATGAGAGCGAGAAAAAGAGGAGGAAAGGAGGGAGGAATGGGGTACATACGGCTGCAAACACGCTGCCTACCAGCTGCTGCTGTTCAACTGGAGTCATATCCACATATCCACTGGAGTCATTTTCAAAACTTCCACCAGTCAATAAAGAGTATTGTGTGGAAAATCAATAACATTGATTTACATCGTAATTGCGTGATGAATTCAATTTTAGTAGGTAACCGGAAAATAAATAAATACTACTATTTCATGTCAAATAGTCTTTAGATTAGTCTACTGAATCCTTAAAACTAAAACTTTTAAACTTTGTTTTCGCTAACTGAAATAAAGCTGAAAATTTTAATATTATATGAAAAACTTACACTTGTTGCCTTGGCAGCTAACTAAAATAAGGTTAAGTTAAAGTACTAAATTGACAAACTAAAACCTAAATAAAATCAATTAAAGCTAAATAGAATAAAAAAGCTAATACAAATGACAACAGTTACAGCACATGACGGAATTGCTACAATTTTAAATAAATAAATAAACTGCAAAAAATAAAAAATATAAGCCGTTTCAAAATATTAAAGGGGTCATATGATGCGATTTCAATTTTTCCTTTCTCTTTGAAGTGTTACAAGCTCTTGGTGCATAAAG